ATTCTATGGAGAGGGAGCATGGACACAAGGGTAGTCTCACAGCTGCTAAAGACAATAGACATAGCCTCACGCCACAAAGGGGGCAGTTAAGCAATAGCAAAGAACTACTGACCGATAGTGCTAGCATTCCATATCATAAAAATCTTTGAAAGGGTTCTAAGAAGCAAGAGAGCCACTCGTCTAGATACCCATCAGTTACACAACCCAACTACTGGACCACTATGACAAGGCCCTGGATGCTCTAGTAGTCTAGAGTCTAGAAGAAAAACAAAATGCAGATGTAGTATGTAGTGTACAGAGACTTTGCAAAAGCATTTGTCAAGTGTGACCATGGTGTAATAGCGCACAAAATGCTTGATAAAGGAATAACAGGAAAAGTTGGTAGATGGGCCTATATTTTTCTAACAAATAGAACACAAAGAGTAGTAGTAAACAGAGTAATGTCCGAGGCGGCTACGGTGAAAAGCTCTGTTCCACAAGGCACGGTACTCGCCCCCATCCTGTTCCTCATCCTCATATCTGACATAGACAGGGATGTAAGCCACAGCACCGTGTCTTCCTTTGCAGATGACACCCGAATTTGCATGACAGTGTTCTCCATTGCAGACTGCAAGGCTCCAGGCGGACATCAACCAAATCTTCCAATGGGCTGCAGAAAACAATATGAAGTTCAACGATGAGAAATTTAAATTACTCCGATATGGTAAACATGCGGAAATTAAAACTTCATCAGAGTATAAAACAAATTCCAACCACAAAATAGAGCGAAAAACTAACGTCAAAGACTTGGGAGTGATCATGTCGAAGGATCTCACCTTCAAAGATCACAACATTGTATCAATCACATCTGCTAGAAAAATGACAGGATGGATAATGAGAATCTTCAAAACTAGGGATGCAAAGCCCATGATGACACTCTTCAGGTTGCTTGTTCTATCTAGGCTGGAATATTGCTGCACATATAAATGAATAATATAATAATTGTGTATTAAAATGTGATGCTATTTGGACACTTTCGAAAAATTTCGAGTGAGGGGGGTGTAGAAGAGCTGTGGAGCGACGCCGAGGATAGACGCCATATTGAATTTAATGTATGAACGCTGGATTGAGTTGTGCAATGTGATCGGGCGTTCTTGAAGGTCAATTGTTTTTTTCCGGCCTGAGTTTGTAATTAGGAACCTGTGTTAATGTCCCCTGATGAAGAGTTGGGACAGGAAATTTGCCGGACCTCAAGAACTGCGTGTGGAGGACGGAAAAATAGAGGTCTTCAATGAATCATTCCAAACAACACACCTTAACTAAATGATGCTTGCCCATAATGTACAGTAGTTTTTTGTGTTTGGCCATCGTAAATCCTAGCTGGAGAGGTAGCATTAGGGTGTGTTCCATCAGCATTGTATTCCAGTAATTAAATAGTAAGTGTTAATACCAATTATATTTTGTGTACCCAGCAAACCTAATCGTATACGGTCCACAATTTCAGTTTACCAGAGTTTCTGGTATTAATATTATTATTATTATAATGCCAGGTCTAGCTTTTTGTGAGAGTGGTGAAGAAGTGGGTGTAGCAAGAATTACAGTTCAGCGACCTGCTGTGACTTAAGTCCCACTTACCTCACCCACATTACTTGCAGGTAATAATTAATACAATTCCTGTAAACCTCCTGCAGGTGATTTGCTCACATAATAATAATAAGTTTCACAAATAAAGCCTTTGGTCCTAACTGTTGCATCCCCTGTGTGGGACCCAAGGTTTATAATTATTATTGTATGTATATAATTTCCTATTTCACTTAATATTATATTGCTGATATCTTCATTAGTGGCTAAAATGAAGCTATCTTGCTTTATATTATTATCTGACCTTATTATTAGCTATGTAAATAGGTAGGACGTGTTTTTGTTGAATTTTGTTGGAAACAGCCTTTGCTAACTACAGTAAGATTGTTAGGGTCAATCGGTCTCTTAGGGGTGTCCTGTGAACCGACTTGATGTAAGGCTTGGAGGCATTTCCTGGGTCAGTCCCTGCCTGCCTCTAGCCCAGGAAACATCTTCTCCTCTGAATGTTTGATCAGACTCGAGTTTTGGGTAGAAAAAGGTTTCGTTGGTGAGCCGGAACCTGTTTCTCGATACTCTGAGTATCAGTGAAAAACAGAGTTATTCCCAGACAGTTATTTTGATAATGACTAAGGTTGTGGTTCTTTCTGACATTCTAAAGTATAGCTTTGGATTTAACTGTATGGCTTCTACGTATTACCATAGTCCAGAAATGTGTTGGGCCGAACTTACATTCGGCATGAAGGAAGTGGTACGATTTCTAGAGAGATTCTGTTTGAAGATCTCTGCTGGTTTGTTCCTGCTTCGTTGTGATCGATTGTTATATTCTGATGTTTCGACATATGTCTTTACCTTTGTGTTAAGTTCTTGCTTTGTAGGTAACTATGGTTGAAACGATATATTATTCTAGGAATTATCTTGTTTTGGCTTGATTACGAGCCTAGCCACTTCAAGACATTATTTGTACTTTAAAGTTACTGAAACTTTCATATATATAAATTATGTAAGACTTGTATCTATGGGAATATCATTGTAATAAAGTGTTCTCTAAGTTGTACTGTACAGTACCGAGGGTACTGTTCAGTTAAGTTAGGTTAGAAGATTGAGACACTTACGCACCATATGGGAATCTTTATTTAGGAAACGTTTCGCCACACAGGAGCTTCATCAGTCCAATACAAAGCAGAAAGGTGCAAGGAGAGGAGGAGATTGAGGTAATCAGTCCCTCAACCTGGAGTCGATGTGTTCAGTCCATCAATCTTGTAGAATGTACAGCACAGGGCCGTAGATGTGGCTTATTTACTGTAGTAAGGTGAGGCGAAGCAAGAGGCGGGGTCATAGTGGTACCATCCACTAGTCTAAGTAGGTCTTCGTCCAAAGAGGAGAGGAGAGTGAGGTGTTTTGTGCAGTAGGTGAAGTACAGCAGATGGAGCAAGATGTAGTTGTGTGAGTAGCTGAGATGATTTTTTTTTTGAAGTTTGTGCCATAGGTTAAGTGCTCTAATGCTTACCTGTAAGGCCCTAGCGTGCAGAGGCCTGTTTAACTTTTGGGAGAGTACTTGTATGGTGTTTTTGCCTGTTAGCAGACTGGTAGAAAGGAGGGGGGTTTCTTGGAGCCTGCCTGTTGATAAATATTTGTTTTTTACTCACTAGTAGCAGTGTGCTAGTGAACTAACGTGAGTACTGGATAAAGGTGAATTGGAGTGTGATGTTGGCTGTAGCAGAGTAGATTGCAGGTTGTATATACATTATTATTAATATATTATATTGTTGTATTGGTGAGCTTTTGTGTCCTTATAATAATAACATTGACTAAGTAACATTCCACATTTAATGTGAAGGTGCAAGGTGGCCTTAGAGTGGTTTCTTTTTCTATTTTGTATAAATGCCCCATTAGGAGCCAGGACTTTTTTTTTTAAATTACGTAAGCCAAAAAGCGTAACAGTCCATCTTTTTGTCAGGTCTAGCTTTTTGTGAGACTGGTGAAGAAGTGGGCGTCGAGGGAGTTAGTTCAGCGACCTGCTGTGACTTAGTCCCATTTACGTCACCCAAATTACTTACAGGTAATAATTCAGGTAATGCCCACTAAACCTCCTGTAGGTAATTTGCTCACATAATAATTTTCACAGGTGCACATAAGTGCAGTTATACATAGAACTCTGCGCTAATGTACTCTCATCAGTGGCTTCAGTGGTTACTTTATGATGGTCAGGGTAAGTCTTTTTTTTACCATCTATGCAACATTTCAACAAGGAGAGAAAATTTACTTTAAAGTTTATTTCATTATAAAAGTTCTGAGATAACATTAAAGTGTCTGTGAGTAATGAAACAGTTTATCGAATAGAAAACATATGTTGTTTATATCGTCAGAATGTCCTCAATGAAAATAAGATGCGATATTCGACTTGACCGAGTTTTCTGAGGTTAAATTTATACAGTGTACTATTTATGTATGATAATCTATGTAACTATTTGTGTATACCTGAATAAACTTACTAACGTGTACAAGGAGCCCCAATGAAAATAAGTAATTTCGTCTGACTATTTAATTTACACGTATTTAATTTACACGTATGTTGCTGTGTATGATAACTAATCACCTAAATTTTCGTAACTGTACTGATGTTTGCAGCGCTGTATAGCCCTTGTGGTTTAGCGCTTCTTTTTGATTATAATAATAATGTACTGATGTTTAACTGTACATAAATAATCTTTCTTTCAAAATGGTTGTAAATAAAGCATGTTATGTAAACGACGACTAAACAAAAAACTTAGTTTGACTTCATTGGCTTATCCCAGGTTAATTTACACATTAAGTACTGTATAAGACATTTGTAAAAAAAAATCGTAATATGTGTAGTGAAGCTAAATATAAACGTGTGTATCTCTTCAGAGTTGCCCCATTGTTCCACTGTGAGTGTTAACGTTTTCTTTGAGTCAGGTTTGTATATCTTCCCATTCTTGTAAATTAACCTCCGAGTCTAATTAATAACGACTGGCTTAAATTTATTTTAATGAAAAGAAGTGCTGTACCCGTAGGAGTCAAATTGCTCCTGGGATATGAGAGGCATTCTTTTTCAATTCAGGGAAGGGGAGGATAAGTACATTCCCTTGGATCATGAGCACCTCATGTGTCTAAAAAATGAATACGTATTGCTTCTCCATTATATTATCAAGTGGTAAGAAAAGGCAAATTATTGTATGTTGTCACTCTAACAAATTAAATTTTTGAATTACTAAGAACTAAAAATATATTTTAGCAACGCATTCGGACACAGCCAGCAGCTCTACCAGACGCATGAACTCTCCCTCAAGGACGCTAGTGACAGCTAATATATTCACTACTACCACAAATTCCTCTATACATCAAATACTGACAGAATTTTGTATGTGCCCACAAGAAGGCCGAAGGCTTCTGCCATGCGGTGGGTATAAGATCGCTGAGAATCATTGCTAGGAATGGCTGTATTAACCATGGTTTTGGTGGTGTGAGTCAGTGTAAGGGAGGTGCTGCTATCAGTGACTGCGAGGTATTTTTGGTCTTGGTGTCAGTAGTGGTCCAGACCGAGGTGGACGCAACGCTAAATTTACGCGGTGGGTGTCACTGGCTACCAGCGTGTGTAGTGGGGAAATGTGAGTGTCAGAACTGGATTTCAATACCAACGCTGAGGTAAGTACTAGTCTTGTTTTTGAGAGTTATCCCAGGTATTGCTGTGAGAGAGTTCAACAGATGGCATGGGATAATTATCTCACGACATGTTTTTGAAGAACATTTTTACTTTAAAAAAGAAAGCTGGTAAAATTTTAGGGTCCTGTTTGCTACCGAAATATTGCTCGTATTTGGAGTCTGTTCTTTGTTCCTCAGCCTTTGATTTCTTGATTCTCTTGTATACAGAGACTAAAGTTCATTAAGTATAAGGCTTTGTCGTTACTTTCTGGCTAACTAATGACATATCTGATGCACAAAATTATAATTAGGCTTCTGTAGCACACTGACGCCATTATATTTTTAGCATTTCTAAATCAACTTTTTTCCATGAACAAAATAAAAAACCTAACCAAACTCAATCCGAGCTTTTATTACAAATTCTTCTGTCTGGCGCAGCAATGAGATCACTGCCACAAAAGTAGTAGACACTTCACACCTAAATGCAGTGCAGATGTGTGAGAAATTCCTCCCGTCTTGCTGGAGTCTTTTTCTTGGGTTGCTATATGACCCTTGTAGGTTTAGCGCTTCTTTTTTATTAATATTTCCTTGGGTGGGAATGTCGTAGTGTAAGAAAATTACAGTCCTTTTAAAAGTATATAAGTTAGGTTAGGTAAGGTTCGTCAGGAAACAGACAAGTGTTTCCTGACGCGGGTCTTATATGACCCGCCTTTGGAGCTTTGGTCATCTGACTGAGGCTTTCGCTGGCTTACCGGTCCACCCCCTTTAAAAATAATATAATCATGTAGTAGTATATAAGTGTTGGACTGACAGTATATGTACAATACCACGTAGCTAATGACAGTCAAAAATAATATATTCACACATCTCTGTATAGTCTTTTAAAATTAATTTTCAGGTCTTAATGTTTTAAATGGGAGGAGGGAAGGGAATAGAAATTTAAGTAAAATTTTAGCAATCAAATAATGTATACTGTACTTAGTGAATAAATAAGAAGTCATGAGAATAAACTTAAAAATTCCAGGGTTTGACCACACCTGCGTCGAATGATCCACATCGAAGAGTTCGTCCAGGCAATAATTTTAGTCGACCAAAAATGCTTTGAATTCAAGACAGAACGAAATGGTATCATATTCGAAATAATTTTGATGCGCGGAAGGAAAGCAAGGGATAAATTTCTCTAAAATTACTTGGTAAAGCTACTGCAAATTTCACCCTAGGCTGTGTTGATCGGCCAGTTTTATTTTTTGTATGATTGTGTTACTGATTAAAACTTACTAGTCTTAAGTTCACTGTAGACAATGCTTTAGTCCGAATATAGTGTTCAAGTTCTGAAATACATAATTTATAGCACTGTATAAATCCCCCTGCTTCCTTAAAATCTCAGTACAAAAACAGTGGTATTGATAAGTTTGAGGGAAGAGCTATTTGGACACTAGATGATTTTCTTATAGTATATTTAATGATAGTGATTCAAGAAAATATTTTCACGAACTTGCTGGGAACCAGCACCATACCCCAAGCAATAAATATATGACCCCCTCCGGATTTAGCGCTTCTCCCTGACTTGCAGAAATTTGCTAGGGATGCTTAATTTTGGGGATCGTGTCGGCACCACAATAAGGCTGAGAATTTAATTTTCTGGAGATACTGGTCAAGGACCCTCATGAAGATCTGTTAAATTATTTAATGAGGGAATTGAAAACTCGTAGGACCTTTATGTTTATAGTGATTTCTTTAGAAACTGGTTGCATCGCTAGTTTTCATTGAACAGAAAGACTGCTCTTCAGATTAGTAACCTCGGGCCCCAAGAAAACCAAGTGTATCTTAATTCCATCGGTTTCCTACAGCAATCGACTAACTTTTGAGTACTTACCTACTGTTGGCCACCTACTCTCAAATATGTATTTTTGTAATGATAATGGTACTCATTAATAATGTTAATAATAAATTTATGACCAACAAAAGCATAGTACAGGTTTGTGTGCATACGGTACTGTATGGCCTGGAGTCTACCTGGAGGATGTTTCAGGGGTCAATGCCTCTGCGGCCCAGTCCTTGACCAGGCCTCCCGGTGGATCAGGGCCTGATCAACCAGGCTGCTACTGCTGGCTGCACGTAGTCTAACGTACGAACCGCAGCCCGGCTGGTCGGGTACTGACTTTAGGTATCTGTCCAGTTCCCTTTTGAAGGCAGCCAGAGGTCTGTTGGTAATTCCCCTTATGCCTGGTGGGAGGCTGTTGAACAGTCTTGGGCCCCGGACACTTACTGTGTTTTCTCATAGTGTATTAATGGCGCCCCTACTTTTCACTGGGGTATGTTGCAGTGTCTGCCCAATCTTCTGTATTGGTAGCGAGCCTCCAAACATCACCAAATACAAAGAGTTTTTAGACATGGGACTCTAACAGATGTCTGCCATTTTGCCTGTCAGATTTGCCGTTTCCATTCAGTAGCCATCGGGTGTGATAAAGCAATCTCCGTGTTTAGGAATTCATACTATTTATTTATATTAATGTAAAAAAGTTAACGATAGTGATACTATTACAGGGGTTATTTAATGTGTATATGTTAATTCATGGTCTAATTAAAATAAATGTGCACAGATGACAGCAGGATCAATATGGTAGAACGTATGGCCTAGACAACAAATATTTAACGTCACAGATTTCACATAAACTTTTTATCAATTGTATATTTCAGGTAAACCCTTTTATTAACCCCCATTGACACCCCGCACACTCATGGGTGGAGATCCAGGATGATGGTGGTATTCTCTGAACCTGAGTGGCACCACACATCCCTGAGTGTGGATACAGGATGATGATGGTATACTGTGAACCTGAGTGACACCTTACACATTCATGAGTGGTGATCCAGGATGATGATGGTATTCTCTGAACCTGAGCTGCACTCAACACATCCAGGAGTGTGGATACAGGATGATGATAGTATACTGTGAACCTGAGTAACACCCCACACATCCGTGAGTGGTGATCCAGGATAATGATGGTATTCTGTGACCCTGAGAGACACTCCACACATAAATGAGTGGGATTCAGGATGACGATGGTATTCACTGAACCTGGTAAATAACCCTAAACGTTATTTACCTAGAATACCATCGTCACATTTAAAACTCCCCGAGTTCCTTCACTGATAAATAAGGAACGTCAGGTGCGTCACAGGGTACTGCATGACGACAGTCTAATCTAGCCAAAGATAAAGTAATAATTTGTTGAAAAAGCACATATGAAATCGATTTCAGATTTTGAATATGTGGATTGCGAGCAAATATTAGAAATAAAATTTAATACATATTATTTGTAGAAGTAGAAGAAATAAAATTTAATGCATATTATTTGAAGTAATTAATGTATTGTATTATGCTTCAAATAAACAATTTGTTGCAATTCACGAGAAAAAGCATCAAGGGCAATATGGCAGATGCTTACCTTGTGACGCCACGTGCAAACACGCTATAGGCAGAGGCGGAGTCTCGAAGCTTGTTACAAACTTTCTGAAAACGAAAGAAGTGGTAGTTAAAGAAAAAATGACCTACAATGGAAACCCCCCTCACACTGCCCCGAAGAGATATAGAAAAAAATCGTCAGTAAAACAAAGTAACCCTAAGTAAGTTTTATCCTGTGTAAAATCCAAAGAAAAAATTACTTTTGGTATTGGGCCTCATGCTTAAATTAGAAAATTTATCGATAACAAAGAAATGAAAGAATTATTGTGGACAGTCTTCAATGAACCATTAAACAAACTTAAAATTAATAACCTACAAGAATTTTTCGTGAATGTATACCTGGAGAGGGTTTCGGGAGTCAACACTCCCGCGGCCCAGTCTGTGACTAGGCCAGCTGTATAGTCCTTGTGGCTTAGCGCTTCTTTTTTGATTATAATAATAATGTGACTAGGCCTCATGGTGGATCAGGGCCTGATCAACCAGGCTGTTACTGTTGGCCGCACGTAAGCCGACGTACGAACCACAGCCCGGCTAATCAGGTACTGACTTTAGGTGCCTGTCCAAAGGCCTTTTGAAGACAGCCAGGGGTCTATTGGTAATCCCCCTTATGTATGCTGGGAGGCAGTTGAACAGTCTTGGGCCCCTGACACATTGTGTTGTCTCTTATCGTGCTAGTGGCGCCCTGCTTTTTAGTGGGGGGATGTTGCATCGTATGCTGAGTTTTGCTTTCATGGGAGTGATTTTCATGTGCAAATTTGGTACAAATCCCTCTAGGATTTTCCAAGTGTATATAATCATGTATCTCCCGCCTGCGTTCCAGGGAATACAGGTCGAGGAACTTCAACCGTTCCCAGTAATTTAGGTGTTTTATCGTACTTATGTGTACCGTGAAGGTTCGCTGTACATTTTCTAGGTCAGCAATTTCACCTGCCTTGAAAGGCGCAGTTAGTGTGCAGCAATATTCCAGCCTAGATAGAACAAGCGATCTGAAGAGTGTCATCATGGGCTTGGCGTCCCTAGTTTTGAAGATTCTCATTATCCATCCTGTCATTTTTTCTAGCAGATGCGCTTGATACAGTGCTGTGGTCTTTGAAAGTGATATCTTCTGACATCACTCCCAGGTCCTTTAGATTAGTTTTTCGCTCTATTGTTTGGTTGGAAACTACTGTCATTTTTTATATAATCTCAACCTCATTTGATTTTAAAGAATTTGTTGTTAGCACCCCTGTGCACTCTGTCCCACGCCCTGGCCCACAAAACGCCACATTCATGAAAAATTGTAAAAAAAAAAAAATAAAAAGGAAAAAGCGCATGCCTTAAATAACTTGTGCGTATGTTGGCAGAAACAGTCACAAGAATCTGTAGCCCAGACTATGGTTGAACGTCGATATGAGTTAATGTGTCGTTGTGAAGGTAAGGAAGTTTTGACATTTGAATAGCCCTTTGACCGTGTAAATAATTTAGTACTCCTGGCAATATAAAAATACAGGAACAAAATAAATGTAAAAAAAAAAAGACTTCTAGCATAAATATA